AAAACTAATGCGACTTACTTTATCATCATATTTGCTGTATTGTGGTAGTCTGGAACCAAACCCACAATATCTCCAAGGTATGCCTGTAATTATGAAAATTAGTTGTACTGGTTTCCTTTTACTTTTCAAACCATCGCTACTAGGATACTTGAAACTACATACATAGCTTGTAGTATATTTCTATTTCCAGTGCTGGTCTGGAAGGTCATGACAGGGAAAAGGAAGTATTTGAGGAACTAGAGGTCTGAATGAAGTCAAAGAACAAGACAGATGGGGAAAGGAGAAAGGAAACTGGTGGGAGACTTGTTGGGAAGAGAACGAGACCATAAAGTCTTAAGATTTTAGATCGTGGACAGTTCTTGGCAATGTCAAAGTCTGTGATGTGGCCTGGAAATAAACTGTTGAAGCAAGAGGCAAAGTTCATTGGATTGAGAGTGAAGGAGTGGCTGAGAAGTCATGTGGCATCAACGAGGAGAGAGGAGACACTAATCTAACTCAGTGTTTCTCAACCTCAGCACATTTGGGGTTAATTTTTTGTTATTGGGGACAGATTGTGTGTGTGTGTGTGTGTGTGTGTGTGTGTGTGTGAGAGAGAGAGAGAGAGAGAGAGAGAGAGAGAGAGAGAGAGAAAGAGAGAGAGAGAGAGAGAGATATTGTTTTGTGCATTGTAGGATGCTTAGAAGTTAGTGTCTCTGGTCTCTACCCAGCAAATACCAGCAGTACCCACTGCCCCCAGTCTAAACGAAAAAGTCTCAGACTTTGAAAAAAGGGTGTGGGAGTGGGAAGTGGGGAGAGGTGAAGCTAGTACAAACTTTCCTGTCATGTGAGAATTGACCATCTAGTTGGATGCTCTGAACCTCGAAAGATGAGGGTGGAAAAGTAATGGTCTTTGGGTATTAATAACATGGTAGGCAATCGCAGACCTCACCTCTCAGCTTTGTGGTTTGTGGTACAGATTGAGCAGGTAGAAACTGATGAGAGGGCCAGGTTTCTGTCATGGTACGACAACATGTAGATACTACCACAAATATGTTCAAAATCTTAAACTGACATGATGCCCAACAACCTTTGAATCTCAAAGTAAATTTTCCTGAGTCCTAATGAGATAATAGTTTCAAATTCCAAGTCTTGTTGATAGAGAAACAAGATTGTCTTAATTTCCTAAGCTCCCTCTTATGTGTTAAGTGAAGCAGATCTTTACATAGGGTTTCCCTCGAAGCCATGTATAAGGGATGCTCTAAGTAGGTAAGAAGATTTTAAGTAGGTAAGAAACTGCTCTGCTTCTGAAACTCTGACGGAAGGGAAGAGAACAAGTCAGACCTGAAGATCATCAGTTCCACTTAGCATTAGCTGGGACAGCTTGAAGGCTGGGGGCTGGATTGGCTGGGACTCCCCAGGTATCTGTCTACCCTTGGAGTTGAAAACCTATTCACCCCTTCCTCTCAACAAAGGTTGAAGTTGTATATCTATTTTTATTCTTTAAGTAGTTTTACCCTTATCTTTTTAAAGACAAGTGTATACTTTTTGAGGTATAACTTACATACAATGCAATTCACCCACTTTTTAACGTATACTTTGAGGGACTTGGGCAAATGTATATGACTGTGTGACAGCTCTCAAGATACAGAGCATTTCCATCACTCCAAAAAGTTCTCTTATGTGCTTTTGCAGCCAATCCCTTAACCCCTGGCCCCATACAACCACTGATATGCTTTGTCGATGCAATTTTATCTTTTCTGGAATTTCATGCAAATGGAATGCGAATAGCATGTAAATTTTTATTTGGCTGTTTCCATTTAGTATGTCCTTGAGATTCATCTACATTGTTATGTTTATCAGCAGTTTGATTCTCTTCATTGCTTTCCATTGTGTGGCTATAACACACAATGATTTTTCACTCACCAGTTGATAGACTTTTGTTGCCAGTTTTTGGCTAATATGAATGATGCTGTTATGAGCATTTGAGTACATTTTTGAGTATACGTATATATACAACATGTGTATTTCAGTTGGAGTCTCACACTGTCGCCCAAGCTGAAGCGCAGTGGGACGATCACGGCTCACGACAGCCTCGACTTCCTGGCCTCAGGCGATCCTCATGCCTCGGCCTCCCAAAGCCCTGGGATTACAGGCATGAGCCACTGCCTCTGGCCTAATATTTTTTTTTTTTTG